GTATGTTGAATGTGAAAACAATGTCACAGTCTTATTATAAAGACATTCTTATTGTTATTGTCATTATTACAAATATTATCATCATCATCATTATCACCATCATCATAAACATCATCATGATAATCATCATCAAAGTACTAATGATAATAATCATCATCATTATTATCATCAACATTTACTTCTACCTTTCTGTTAATACTCTGTAGATTCTTATAAATTCGGAACTACAATTACTTGTTACACTTCTTTATAATTCTGCAAAACTGTGCAAACAAATATCACCATGTTTATTTATTATGTTACAACGCTATTATTCTCTAATTCTTCACCCTTGAATATTTCTGATGCATGCACTAGCTACTATTAATAGCTTAATGATCTCAGATCTTCGTACATATTTAACGTGCACATTACACGCAAGATATTTAGATAATTATAAGTAATTTTCTTTACCTCTCCTTAACTGAGAGCTACTATACAATCAGGGAAAAAACTACCTACCTTAAAATTAATTTTAAAGTTTGAGTGTAATAGTGGGACACTTGAATACGGAAACGAATCTCTGAGTCAGGCAGCAACATTGTCCCAAACGAAATCCCTACAAAGATTCCTAATCAGAACTTGCTTGCTTAGAAACATTGCTGAGTGTACACCTCTTCAACGATTATTGGATCATCTTGTTAGATCCACAACAATTCTTTCCTTGGCCAGTTACAGATATCATTGCACCCGAATACTCTCAGATCATTGCCAATACCTTGAATTTCCGTGCCATAGAGCAGAAAATGGATGATAAGCTATCAAGCTTTAAATGAATTTGTAGAAGGCTTTTTATTCAAATTAATGTGTGATAACGCAACCACGTACAATCATGCAGATACTATTTATTACAAGGCAGCAAAAATACCACTGCCCGTTGGCCTAAAAATGGCTACAACAGAAAAATTTCGCCAACTAATACCTGTAATAACTTATGTAGAACATATTGAAAGAAGAATTTGGTTTTGAAATATGTACGAATGATTTTACTAATCCTGACGTTCCAAGAACAGAGGAGCAAATCGAATGTGAACGGGAAAAAGAAGAGCGTAACAAAGAGGTAGAAGATAATAGAAAAGAGAACCAGAGGAAATTGAGATTAGTGAATTTAAATAAATTCGAAGCCATTCCGTATATTTCGCGGGACAAAATGTTGAAACAAGCTAGAGTAGCCGCGAAAGTGGGATCGGAAAAGATAACGTTGAATATGTTGAATTATAAAATGGGTTTCCTTCGACAAAAGAATGATGGGACTACCAGTTTACAGATCTTAGTATCGGGAACCGGCGTAATTCCAGAAAATATATAAAGAGAAGTCTCGTTGGTGGAGTTTATACGTAAATTGAACCACAGTACCTGAGCGTTATCAGGATTCCGAGAATACGGGAGAAATATGTCGAAACAAGTGAAAGCTTTGAATTACGTGCCTTTGATACGTATGCCTCAAGTTGCGATTCTACATTCGCTAATCTCACGAAGAAGGAAACAGACTTGGCGTATCAGACATACGGCGATGAAATTGCTGTACAATACTAAGAATCCACAATAGACTCTGCTTTATAGCATTATAGAGACTGTCATTATACGTTAACTATAGTCAGAGATCTGTTGGACCTCCTGACAGGGGGAGATCACAGAAAGACTAGGAAATTCCCGAAGAAAAACGTAGATTCAAAGAGGAAGAAGACAAGATAAAACATTTACTACAGAAACATATGCTAGATGTTGATCGCAATATTCCTGCTTTGGACGGTGTAAAAATTTACATCGATCAATTGAAAACGCTAACAGAATTAGGAATTGATGTTCATCTCTTGGAATAATGGGTAATTAAATTCAAAAAGTTTAAGTATTTGAAAGTAACAGCAGTCTTAATTTTACTTTTTCTCTTCTCCAGAAGAGGAATGGAAGATGAACGCTCAGTTTTGCAGAGTTGATTGGACGACTCGTCGCAAGTGCTAGGCCGTTTATAGCAAGTGCAGCACGAGCAGCTATCGGCCCCTCTACCTGCTCACTTGTCCAATGCTCCTAATCGGTCGGAGGCCAAAGTGGTGACATAATTACTGATAATTAAACAGACACCGAATAGCTTCCTCCTTCAGCTATCGCTCCCATTGATCGTTTGCAAATATCCATGGGCATAGCACCTCTTGGGGGACCAGAGTCTATGGAAATTGAACCGATCACGCATAACCCAAATATCGTCGCGGAAAGTAATCTCTTGTCGCACACTAACGGCAATCAAGCTACTTCGAATCTGTTGCCGGATCCGTCACAAAAATCAAAATACTAACTTGCTCAGTCCAAATGGTCAAAATTAACCGATCAATATTGTGAATACGAAACAACTTGTTCACATGCAAATCGGTATGACTCACAATCGGACACCTTCGTCTTTATTGAACACGTCAGAGACTCTGTGGAGATTTAAATTTAAAATCAGATTTAAAATCAGCACTCTGAGAAGTTT